ATTGAAGAACTGTATCCTGAACATCCCTGAACTTGAATTGTAACCTGTTACTTCCCTAATAAACCTCATAATCATGAATATTGTCTGTGAGTTCTACATGGCCATTGCAATGAATTACTGAAGCTAACAGAGAAGTAGCAAGTGCTGTGGGAGGAACGGTTGGTGTCACAATTGGTAAAAAGGTTGGAGGGTGGTGGCATGTCTGGCTTCCACCTCAAAGAATCAGCTTTGGGCTGCTGATGGTTGACTTTTTTCTCTCTCCCTGGTGAAGTTGGAGGAGGTCAGAGGAGGATGCCAGAAGTACCTAATCACTGACTCCTGATTCTTTGGGAGGTTCTGAGATGTGTTAACAACACATCACAGGTTGGTAGTTGCCTTCAAAGTTGCCTTAGGATTCACCTTTCTTAGCTCAGCTGTATCAGTCACCTCTCATCTGTCTACTTTCCAATCTTCCAAAATTTTCTGACATTATCTCCTCTCCTAATTTGTTTGTCCTTCCAGGTTTATCTTTCAAAATCCCTTTACTGCCATTTTAGTGGGGTTTGAGGAGCATGCGTTCAACTCACATCTCACACAGAAATCTGCAATCTTTGGCAGCAGGTAACTCCATTCTATTTCCTCTTACTATCTCTCTTCTCCATCTCATTTTCTTAATTCCAGTCCAACTAGACTTCACTTTAGTGCATTTTCTGTGCCCTTGTGATTAAACTTCATTTCAGAAAAGAGTTTAACAAATCCGTTCACCCTGAGGTATAAGAGATGACAGAGTGTAATGTGTTTTCTTTCAAGGTATATTAATTTCAGCAGGGACTAAATTTCTTATTTGGATTAAGCCAATGGAATGAAGTTCAATTGCAAATTTTCAGGCAAGTATACCTAAGTGTTTCGGAGGCTTTGCTGCTGCTAGCTTGTATCCAGTTGGCCCCACCTCATGATGTCCTCATGCAATGGAGCAAAACGCTGCCTAGTCCTGGGTCAGCCCCACGGTTCTGGACCATTGTGATACACAGGCTTCTCACTGGCTGAATTTCAGAAGTAGACTACCAGACCTTTCTTCCTCATCCATCTTAGTCTGGAAGCTTCACTAAAACCTCCTTAACATCACGGCACATGTAGGCCACCACTGACGGACAGACAGTCAGACTGGTAGTGGCTACACTGGGGTGCGTTGGTCGGGAATTGAACCTGCATGGGAGGAGAGAACTGTACCACTGCACCACCAATGCCCCCAGCTTTGGAGGCGAGGGGAAACCTTTCCTGTGCTTTCTCCAAACACACCATGTCTAGGCATTTCCCACTATGCCCGTGCAGAAGGCTGGTAATAAGTGTCAGCGTAGGCACTGGAGGATGAGAACAAGCAAGAGAAGTATCTGTTGTGTTACAATTCTAGACCACCTTGCATGTCTCAGAACCTAGATATCAGGCAGGTAAATCATCACATAAATACTGATATTGCTCGAGCACAAACGTATGTTTTGTTGTTTCTGTAAGTATACAGAGATGGGCATCATCAAAATCAAACAGCTCTAAGCAAGCCTGTTTCAAACAGACCTCCTCATACAATTAGTGGTTGGAAGGCATTATGAATATACAAAATGCCCTATAAACACATGACAATCAGGCCAGGAAAATAATTGTGGTTTATAATATGACTAACCATTTTTAACTGTGTAAATAATAATAAACATTATGTGCTCTTGGTTGAAGCAGATCCAATTATCCAGAATTTGGTAAGGAACCTGTTTCAGTCTGTAGCAAACAACAGAGGATGCCTCCAGCTTTCTGGGAGCTACCACACAGAAAATTAAGGTCACTGAGCACAGCAGGGATATAGCAACAAAAACAGGAGAAAAGAAGACAAGGCTGTTTAAAGTCACCTCAAAACTTGATGTCTTGCCCATTGTTTTGTTAAATACTACTACTACTGACCACACTCATAACATGATTGAAATGTTCCTGTGTCTCTTACAATGAACTGGACTGTGGAATGCTTTACATATATTCATTGATTCCTACAGCAACCTCACAAGGCGGATAGGCACTGTGTTCTCCATCTTACAGATGAGGAAAATAAAGCACAAAGAGACTGAATAACTTGTCCAAGGTAAATGTCAGAGCTGGGACCTAAAGGCAGGACACAGAGCTCCAGATCCGGGCTCCCAACATCCCTCCACACGGCCGCTGCCTTCCCTCTCTTTTCTGTGTTCCACTAACTCCACTACAAATCCACATTTTCCGCACTGGTTGTGCTGAGCTTATTCCTCACCATCGTAAGAAGAAATGGTTCTTTAGGGGAAAAAAGTACAAACCCAATACTACCATAAAACAAGTTCAGAAGTCTCCAGGATATAACCATTCTTGGGATCTGAATCAACCCCAAGTAAAATTTTCCAGTCCCAGTTGTGTGGCTTCAAGGCTTAACTGCCATATTGCTGCAGAGTTATTTTAGGAGCCCTCCACCCAAGTGCTTACATTGTCACTCCACTTGGCTGTCCTATGTATTTAGTAGAATCTTACTGATTCCTTCCCTCACTAAAATGTTCTCCAGTGTCATCTAACAGACTGAATGCAGGAGTCCCTGGGTGACTGCAGATAGTTACAGGATTGGCTGCTAACCAGAAGACTGGCAGTTAGCATTCACCCAGAGGCACTGGGAAAATGGTCTTAAGAAGAAAGAGAATGGGGCTGGGTTGGGATGGAGTGGAGGGTGGGGTGGGGTGGGATGGAGCGGAGGGTGGGGTGAGGTGGGGGTGGGGAGAGATCAGTCACTGTTAACTGTGGGGCACAACTCTAGTCGCCGTGAGTAGGACTCAATTCCACGGCACTGGTTTTCAACACATGTACTAAATGCATTGCACCTAACTAGCAAACATATAACAAATTACTGTACTGAATTATTAAACTGAACCACCTTATCATTTGTCCAATTGGGACTTCTTGCTTTAATGTTGAAGAATAGTATTTTTTACAGTTAGTAAACCCACTTCACCTCCATCAGTTTGTTATAATTGTCCAATGCAACCGAATCTCGGTACCTTTTGCCTTAAGAATCCTGTGCTGTTTCTTACCAGACTTCCAAGTCTGTCCTTTTAAAGATGCACCTCTGAGTATTAGATACAGATATGGCTACCCTGCCCTACAAAGTCAGCCTACTACTTCCACCGGAAAAACAGACCTGTGTGAGACCGACTGAATCTTCAAAATATAAGAATGGTGGTGGCCGAGGAGTGCCGAACCCGCGCAAGGCGGTGGCTCCATCGCCGCCTGGCTCCCGCCCCAGGCCC